GATATTAGTCCAAGCTTGTCTATGTGCTGGTACATGTACACGAGCATTAGCTGCACTGAAAGGAGCTTTAGCTGCACAAACATACTCTATGGAATGTAAAGGAAAAGGCAAATGAAAATAAGGAAAGAGTCCATTAGTGTACTGTATAAAAATACACACATAGTACTGGGACAGGTTTGTCTTGAGCCCAGGGCAAGGATGGGGAAATGCGCTCCCTCCCACACTGTTAATGTATGCCATAGAACAGGTTTACTGCTCTGTGTCCATTCTCTGCCCTCTTGCTCCACTGTGCCCAGGGCAGCTTGCCCTCCTCAAAAAAGGGGGGGATGTGAAAAGTGGTTACATCATGAACAGAAAGCGATACCCAAACTTTTTTAAAAAAAATTATGCTTTATTACAAACAATGCATATATAGACATTTAGGTGAATACTTCAGTTAGCCATCACCACAAAAAGAGACAATATAGAAAAGTATGACCTAAAACCAAAATATAGTTAAAAACAGACATTATGACAGGACATGAATATACCGTGTTTCCCCGAAAATAAGACATTGTCTTATTTTTTTTTTTTTTTGGCTCAAAAAAACACACTAGGTCTTATTTTTGGGGTAGGTCTAATTTTTTAAATGTCCAGGTGTGGACAGGGGGTGCAGAGGTGAGCTGCAGGCAGTTGTGGATGAGGGTTACTATGGAGCGGGCCGGCTGATGACAGTTGTGAGCTGCAGTCAGGTGTTGCAGGGGTGACTTGACAGGTGAGTTTCAGACAGGGTGCAGATATGAGCCACAGACAGGGTGCAGGGGTGAGTTGCAGTCGTGGGATGCAGAGGTGGGCTTTGACTAGGGGGTGCAGCTAAGCTGTGGCTGGGGGGTTCAAAGGTGGGTTGCAACTCAGCTCACCTCTGCACCCTCCCAGCCGCAGCTCACCTATGCACCCCCCCCCAGCCGCAGCTCACCTATGCACCCTGTCTGCAACTCACCTGACTCAATTTACCTCTGCAACACCTGACTGCAGCTCACCTTTGCACATCCCCCCCCCCCCCTCCACTGTCCTCATATGGTTAGCTAGCTTTGCAAAACACAGCTGTCAGCAGCCGGCCCCATTCTATAGTAACTCCCGTTTCGGGTCCTATCTTCCCACACAGTGCACCAAGTGCACTTACTCACCCTTCCGCCTCTTCCCCACTGGCCAGTGATCACCCTTGGGGCATCGGCTTCCATGCATTAGGCTGGAGGAGGAGATGCCCCACCCCTAAACACACTGCATACTGCACCCGCAGATATCTGTTCCTTCCCTGTCCCACAGTGAGTACAGAGGTAAGGAGGTTCTGTGGGAGCGGAGAAGGTTCTGTGGGTGCTGTCACTTTAGTGTGCGCAAGGCCAGTGGCGGAGGTGGTGGAATGGCGTTCCGCCATGTTCTGCTGATCACAACTAGGTCTTATTTTCGGGGTAGGTCTTATTTAAGGGGAAACAGGGTATAGTGCTGTAAATGTGATGACACTTGGTCTAGTACATGAGCAGCACTGACACATAGGTAACACCCCCATGTAGGGGATGTATTCAACAAATTGTACCGTAATAGGCTATACATCAGACATGCAGTGAAGTATACCAGTTAAAGATGAATTCAGGAACCCGATGTTATACATAAACATCCAATTAAAAAATCCCCCCATTTTTTTATGTCTGTTTTTTGGTTACTTGGCAGATGATATACATTCAACGATACGTTAAACTTATGGTGCCTCTTGCTTTTTTGTTACTGGTTCAGCTTGCCCTCCTGCCTACGCCTTGTCCCATCCTGTGCATACAGTTACAAGGTATAATATTCATATATTCATCTTTGTGGAATGGTAGCATGCACACTTCACAAAGTACTACCATGTCACTTTGAGGTTCTGGTGCATCATGGGATATGTAGCACTATTTTAGATTACAGAACTGCAAACATCAATTTATTTGAACTGTAGGACAGAGGGCTGCATATATTATCCCCACAAATTAAACTTACTAAAATTCTTTGCAGCTATCCTGCCTTTGAAGCTCTCTTCCTATATAACTGGAATATCAGTTTTTCACATTAGGTTACTAATAAATTCCCTCTTTCTTATTAGGCATAGTCACATCTAATGGACACATGTGGAAACAGCATAGACGTTTTGGGCTAATGACCCTGAGAAATTTAGGACTTGGAAAATGTGGCCTGGAGTCACGTATTCAAGAAGAAGCTCTCTGCCTGATGGAGTCATTCAAAGCCAAGAATGGTTAGTCCAATGGTGTTGGTCTAGCATAGCCTATGTTTTTTTTTTTTTTACTGTTCATACCATATATAGCAGAACCAACTGGATATACTGTATGTCACAGGCAGGAGAAAAGGTAGTGCATGCATGACATTAAAGAAAAGACTGATATTGGCTATTGCATTTTAGTGCTGGGAAGAAACTGGAAAATTTAGATAATTCAAAATGTTTCATCTGATTTAGGAGAACCATTTGATCCTTCAATGATGGTCATTTATTCTGTGGCAAATGTAATTGCTGCTGTGCTTTTTGGACATCGGTTTTCTATCGATGATGGGATTTTCCAGAAATTAGTGAAATGCAGTCACCATCTTCTTGAAAGCATTGGTTCAGCATGGGCGAGGGTAAGTGCCAATAAAGTTAGGCCTTGATTTTATTCTGGGTTTGAATTAGTTAACTGTTGTGAACATTCTAATTATAATAATGCTTTTTTTTTTGCCCAGCTATACGATTCTTTTCCATGGCTGATGAAACACCTTCCTGGCCCTCATCAGAAAGCTTTTGCAAATATGGAATACTTGCATCATTTTACTGACAATGAGATTCGAATACATAGGAGAATGGATCATTAGAGGAACCTCAAGATGTCATCGACTATTACCTGGCCCACATTTTAAAAGTAGAAAATTAGCCAGTCTTATTTCTTTAGACAGTAAAAGATATTTATTTAGATGTGTAAAATATCATCACCACCCAGGCTTGAAATTTTTCAGTAAGATGCCCAATAAATAACGAATACTTTTGTAGAAAAACTATTCAAAAGGGAATTCAAAAATGCTGCAGGAATGTTGTAGCTGACAAATACAACTCATGTCCTGGAAAAGTGAATTAAGAGCAATGGTCAAGATTGCATCCGGACCCAGAGGGGGCAGCCTGTATATCTCTTTACATTCTATAACTATATTCCCTTCGCACACATTTCTGGAAGTATGGCTCATCAATAGAGGGTGCTGTAGCAACTACCAGCTGGGACTGGTAACATTATAAGCAAACATACATATTCGCCAGCACACAGTGGATCTCCAATAACGTCCAAAAAAGGTTTTTTTTCCCAAAAAGATCACATCACAAAAGAAAGTGCAACGTTTCGGAGCCACGCATAACCCCTTTGTCAGCACATGCCTGATGAAGGCATCCTTCCGGGCGTGGAACGTTGCACTTTCTTTTGTGATGTGATCTTTTTGGAATAAAAACTTTTTTGGACCATATTGGAGATCCGTGGTGTGCTGGCGAATACGTACGTTTGTATATCACTTTACGTCAGTTATGCAAAGATTTTATATAGTTGTACTTTAGTTTTGAGAATGCATGTGTCATGAGGAATCATGGTGCTTTTACACTAGTACCTGTAAACTGACCTCACAGTGACCATGAAAGGAAACTTATATTGTTAGAAAAACAGAAGCAGCTATTGCTGACCTTTTTCTAAGAACACTAATTGTCTGGTTGTCTGTAGCTTCAGTACTTTCAGAGTCAATGACTTGCAACAAACATGGAGATTAGACAGTCATAGTGAAGTCAGAACTCTTGACCTGAATACTTGTTCCAGGTCAATGCCTCAGAAAGTACCAAAGTACTGATATAGTGGTTGACTTACTAAAGACTTAGACTTATAGCAAATGCACTAATACGGCTACAATCACCTTAAGTAAAGACTTAAAAAATATTTACTTACGAATGTAAATGTTCACTTCGCAGAGTGAATGCTTAACAATATAATGAAATAAGTTGAGGCTGTGTTCACTTTAGTCAATCAATAATATAGCAAAAACCCTGTTTTTTATTCCCTTTGCACATAACTGAGTATTCTCAGAATCAACTTGTTTACTTACATTCAATTTGCAAAAAGAACATACACTTTTTAAAGTGAACATTGACTTTGCTAAGTGAACAGCCTAAGTCCTCATGCACAATGGATGTTTTTACAGCTGCTATTTTTGGCTTTTGATGTTTTTTTTCTACAGCCAGTAAACTCCCCAGCATGTTATCCTATGTGTCCATGTACGCATAGACTGTAATCAACGTTTTTTGGCTGGAAAATAAACCCAGGACTTGTGGGTTTCTAGAGGAGTGTTTTAATTGTAAAACTGCTCTAATGCTGAAAACACTGAAAAAATTGGCAAAACGCTGGAAAACACCACAAACTGGTGTTTTTGGACTTTTTTTTAAACAAAAAAAAATTTTTTTTTGGTAAAAAAAACGCTAAAAAACACAAATGTGGAAAAACGTAACTAAAACGAGGCAAAACTCCGCTAAGCACTACTGCAAAAACACTAAACAAAAAGCTGAAAAACTCACATTTTTAATGTGACTTTACACAGCTAATGTTACCAGCGTTATCAAATCGTCCAGTGTGCATGAGGACTTATAGCAGTGATTGAAAGAGGAAGGCACATACAGCAGTAAAACTGTTTAACTGGAATTGAGCTTAAAAGTGCATGCTTGCCTTAGATGCCTAATTTTATACATTGAAGGAAAAAATAAAATATTTATGCATTGCTATAATATACTGTACTATATGGCATCAAAGGTGAAGTAGATGATTGTTAACAATGTATTGGTTGTCATTTTCTTGCTGAATGTTTTTATATACAAGAGGAGATTTTTGCATGAAATATCACTTGTATTTTCCTAGACAGCAGGTGAAAAAGAATCCACCTTTGATGAGAACAGTCTGATTATACTGACCACTGATCTTTTAATGGCGGGGATTGAAACCACAGCCACTACCTTACAGTGGGCTTTATTATACATGGTGGCTTATCCTGATGTACAAAGTGAGTACATAAGCTTTGCAAAAGCCACATATTTTGTTGAATGAAAAAAAAACATAATATTGCAGGATGCTTGACTACCAGGCATGCTTTTTGAAGCTAAGCAAATCCAAATGTCTCTGACTATGTTCGCTCTTTTTACCTTTCTCTCACCATATTTTGGTACCTGAGGTGCTCAGCCCTGCAACTATGTCGATGTTGACGATGTTGTCAATGTGAATAGTTTGTAAATTTTGTATCCTACTCAATTTGCAATCCCTATCCCCAGTTCTGCAAAAAAACTCCAGAAAACAAACATCCCCTAGACTGGTCATTGAAAACAATGAGCAAAAGAGTGTGTGTACCTGGCTGTGGAAAATACTTTCTGCCTGGCTGTGGGTAAAAGAAAAGGGGGAAACTTCCAGGGGTAGCTCAACATTTTAAAAAATGTTATTAGGTAAATGTATTTATTTATATTAGAATAGTTATTTATATATTGCTGACAATTTACACAGCACTTTATATGTAATGTAAGTTCACATCAGTCCCTGCCTCCAAGGAGCTTACAATCTAAAACTGGCCATACTATACATGGATAGAAATTTGGCCGGTTTAGCATGGACTGAATTTCAATCCATATATGGGCTGGCTGGTTGTACAGAAGTCAATCTATCAATTGATTTGTGTACAACAAGCCTGTCTGGTTTTTCCCAAACAACTAGTGCCGCTGGTTATAGTTGGCAACACTAACTATTGTGTTCTGTATGCAGGGAAGGCTCCCCACCGACAGATCACAATAGCGCTGCAGGAGGGATACCCTCATCGAAACAAAGTGTGTTGATGGGGAAATTGAGCAATTTCCTTTCCTTTTACCGGAGGTGAAAGAAATTAAAATTGCATAATCTGTGGTCTGCTTAAGTTCTCTACTGCACATGCACACATACACATACTATGGCCAATTTGGAAAGGAGCCAGCCTGTCTTTGACGTGTGGGAGGAAACTCGCACAGTCACAGAGAGAACATGCAAACTCCACTGCAGATGAGTTTAAATATTGCCTATTAATATTTCATATTCACATTTCCAGCCATTAGGTGGCTGGAAATGTTTACCTATCTCTTCATGTGTTTACCTGTTCGTTCTTAGCCTTTCTTGAAAAGAGTCTCAAAAGCCCAGTAGCTCAAGCTCAGATTTTCCAACACTGCTAAATGATCAGTGACTCATCTCCTCCAACTTATCTGCTTTTTTGAGATGGGGCTGTGCAGACTTTCAGTTAGACAGAGAGAATATAAAGACAAATAGTTTTCACTGTGCTCTCTCTTTAGAGAACAGATAAAGCTCTGTGATACCATTGTGTAGGTATTGTCTATTTAATCATGTTTCCTAATAAGATAAGGATTTCTTTGGAAAGAGCAGGGGTGGACAGCTTTCCTATACACATACTGTATGTGTGATTGATCAACAATGGACATAGGTTTATTATTCTTTCACTGTGTTTGCTATGGCAGTGGTATGGTGCTAAGAGGATCCATTTTGTATTCTAGACAGTGCAAGCCCTAAGCAAATATGGATGCAATGGGTCTTTAATCAATATACATACTCAGTAATCTAGTAGCATTGTTGGTTCATCCAGTTAGTCAGTGCATACCCATAATAAACATGACTGATATTTGGTAAACCCTCTGTGCCTGCCCTTTTCTGTAGTAATGCAGGAATGGAGGCAAAGGACCATTTTCAGGGACAGTGGAAGCGGAGGATGAGGCATTAGAGACATTTGCATTGGAACTGCTAAATCTGTTAGCAGGGAACATGGGAACCTCGACTAAAAAACAGGATGCCAGAAAGTGTTTAGGATTTTTTTTCACACAATAGCATGCCTCTATATTCTCTGTAATGTTTTTATGAATTGAAACAATTCAGTACTAATGTTATTAAAGCCTCTTATTTCCATGGAAATATTGTATTGTCATTGGACTGTCTATTACATATGGAGGTTCATTATTGAATTCATTTGTCACCTCATGGACTTTTCTGATTGGATGCTGCAACATCATGTGACCTTCAAGGCCATCTAAGGTTAGGCAACTTAAACAAGGTTTTCCACATTATTTTGGCATGCTTCTGGTGAGTGTGTGGTAGGGAAAAGCTTGTGAAGGGCAGTGATTAGCTCAGGGTCAGGTTCCTGGTGAGGAGGGAGAGCTCAGAGAAGGTTCCTTCTTCACTATATATAGACTCTGGTGAGAGGTGCAGAGACATGGAACCAGTGCAGACTGCAGGAACATCCTCTGCTCATGCCTAAAAGGAACACTACCGCTGGCAAAGGAAAGCTATCCTATGGTAACATACTGTAAAAGCTGAGAGACTATATTTTTTAACTGTTGATATCAGTGCTGAAGATCAGTATATCCGTTACTGCAAACCAACTCAGCAAGAGTCTTACAAAAGACATCAGTGCCAATTAGACATATGCGGTTCGTTTCATTCCGAATCGCATTTCGGACAAATGTTTTCGTTATTCGGAGATTCGGACTTACCTGAATAACAAATTAGGAAAATAATGAATTTAAACAAATCCGAAATTACGAAATTAAATTCGGACGAAATTCGATTCGAAAACAAATTCAAATTCGAAAACAAAATCGAACAAACATTCAAAAACCAATTTAAAGCGGAGCTCCACCCAAAAGGAGAAGTTTCCGCTTCAAGGACTGGTTGCCCGCTCCCCGTTATTTTTTTATTTTTTTCGAATTTGGTTGAAATCTTTTCGATTTCGAACGACTTTTGCTGAATCAATTTCGAATTCATTTGAACCAATTTCGAATACGAATGACTTTTCAAATTTGGGCAAAATGTTTTCGAATTTATTTCGAATACAAATTACCGAAACGAATCTCGAAAACGAATTGAGTGAATTTACCAAATTCAACTACACAAAATGTGTTAGATTTCGAGACGAAACAAATTTTTTTTTTGTTTTTCACATGTCTAGTGCCAATTAGTGTTCTATATACTGTCTGCGAGTATTTCCTCCAAATACTAGGTACCCAACTTAGACACTGAATACAACCTCAATTTTGTGGATGGAGGAATCTTTGTTTTTTTTTGTTAAGCCCATTGGCAAGCTGTACAAAAAGAGCATCAGAACAATGTGCAGTTGTGAAGGTGTTCTTAGTACACAGTAGACATTGACAAAGGGAAAAAACAACCTTCTCTCTTCTACATGAATGCCTATCAGTGGCAAGAATGGTAGGGTCAATACAATCAGGTTGAAGAGGATGTGGTAGGTTGCTCAAAAGAGTTGAAACATGATACACTGTCCCTACAAATCTTGTTAAATTGTGTAGTAAACCTCTGGCCTCATTTGCTTTCTATAGAGAGGGAGGATAGTATTCACCAGGAATTAATATCAGGCTTTAAAGTCGTCTTAGCTCTTCTAAGATCCATATACCCCTAATAATCACCACTTTGGGTGAAAAATATTGGAGATTCCATAATTTTCCAAAATGGCAAGGATAGGCTTTTTTGATTGAAAGGCTGAATCTGATTGATGGCTGTGGACTCAACAACTATTCTTTATTAAAACATTTTCACAAATAAGGCAAACTGAATCCTTGTTTAATATGCATATGCTGATTATACTGTTGTGTAATTAAAACAATTCTTGTTTTAGAGAAGGTGCACAAGGAGCTGGATGCTGTTCTTAATGGGTCTGTAATTTACTATGAAGACAGAAAACGGCTTCATTATACTAATGCTGTCATTCATGAGATTCAACGGTATGGAAATATAATAGCTGTGGGAGTTGCAAGAACTTGCATCAGAGAGGTGAATGTCTGTGGCTACACCTTGCCCAAGGTGAGAACTTGGCAAATTAGTAATCTGTTATCTAGGACCACTGATAACCACTGGTTCTCCTGTAGGGGGCCTGGATAGCAGGGGAAATCAGATGTGAGCAGTGCAGGGAGGGGGATCAGTGAGGGAATTACAGGAATGACCCCCTGTGTGTCTCTCCCAGCAGCAGCTGAAAGCAGTTTTCTCCCCCTCTCCCTCTCCCTCCCCCTGGCCTTCAGCTGCTGCAAGGAGAGGGACACAGGCATCATTCCTGTAATTACCCCCCACTAATCCCCCCTGTCCTGCCCACATGTGAATTCACCTGCTGTGTGCCCCTTGTGTGCCCTGCCCCCCGGCATGATCACTCCTGTGTCCATTCATAACCGAAGCATAGTAAACTGTGTTTACTATGCTTCCATTTATGAATGCACAGGGGTCTGTTTAGACCCAAACCTCCCCAACAGTTTTGTAAAAAAGAAATTGTAAAAAATCATTTTAAAGAATTGTACAAAATAATTAAAATAATTAAGGTCTCATTCACATGGGTTCTCTGGCCATACAGTATGAATGAGTGGTTTGTTTGTGCTGCTGAAGCCATCTGTTACTCCATGAGGATGCAGCAGCTGTATGAACACACATCTATCAAATTAGAACCTGTGGCTGTGTTCGTACAGCTTCTGCATCCCCATAGTGTCACATAGGCTGCTGGCACACAGCAAGAGCCACATTAAAAAAAAAAACACTGAGTCTCACAGCACCCATTTGAAAGAGCCCCAAGACCTCATTTACAAACAGAATTGTATTAACTCAGTACCAGGGGCGGACTGACCATTTGGATACTCGGGCACTGCCCGAGGGCCCGGGATCAGTAGGGGGCCCCATGAGATGCCCCTGGTACCTTTTTCATAGGCTTTTTTTGAGTTTGGGCAAGGACACAGGGGCCCCATGATTTCCTATTGCCCGGGGGCCCCATGAGTTGTCAGTCGCCCCTGCTGAGTACTGTTTTAGATTTAGCAGGAATTTTTAAATTATGTTATGTTTGTGTCTGCTAATAATTATTTTAGTATATTTTTGGTGAAAACATATAGTTTTGATATTTTTGGAAGGGGGGCTGTCAGGTAGGCTGTACAGGGTCCAGTGATTTTTACATCAGCCCTGGTGTTATCTCATCACCTTTCTAATGCATTTGTTTTTAGCATACAAATCTTTTATAACATAATACATTTTGGAGAAATTATTGCAATGTTTTATTTTTATATTTTCATCTTCCAAGAATATAATGGTTTTGCCTAACCTGGATACTGTGCTGTATGATTCTGATTACTGGGACACTCCTCATCATTTCAACCCTCAGCACTTTCTGGACAAAGATGGGAAGTTTTCAACAAATGAGGCATTTTTGCCTTTTTCTGCAGGTAGGTGCCCCCCCCCCCCCCCCCCCCCCCCCATTTTTAGCAGAAGTGTACTAGCCCGTATTCTTATTTAGACTAAAAACATTTTCAAGTAGAAAAAATCTACCTGATCGGTTGCCCAGTCTTATTTCATTGAATCTATTTGTTAAAAAAATGCCTTCTTTTCTATGTTGCAGATAGTCAGTCCCTAGTGTATGATCTGCTTGTAACACCATAAAATCTATTAATGCCAAAGTGTGCAAAACTCTCTTTTCAGCAGTTTTCAATCACTTTTTTAAGAAGCAGATCTATAAAAAGTGTTTTAATCTACACCTCCTCTGGGTGGGGTCTCCTCTGACATAGTAACATGTATAAGGGGTCTTTACATTATTTTGCTATAGCAGAGTTGCCCTTCTTGCCACATTCCAAATAATGGGTGACATGTAAAGTATACTCAGTGGTGTATTTAGGTTTTTTGCAGCAGAGAGAGCCTGACACCAGACCCCCTACCGCCCCCCCCCCCCCCCCCCCCCCACCAACCCAGGGAGAGCCTGACAGTGACCCACAACACCCCTGCCCTCCCCAACCGAGAGAGCCTTCCACTAACCCCCCTTCCCTGGCAACAGAGAGAAAACCCTCGCCTTCACAGCTCCGGACATCCCCGGGAATGAGAGTCAGGCTCTGCATACTACACCATCAAGCAGTCTGCAGCCTCTTTCAGATCCCACCTGGTCCCCATGCTGCATATGTCCCTTCTTCCTGGGGGGGTGCTGCCCCCCTGGAAAATGTCACCCTAGGCAAATGCCTTGTTTGCCTTGTGGTAAATATGCCCCTGAGTATACTGTATATAAAGCCAAAAGGTTTATATTTTTTTGGATAGAGTAGGGATGGTCAAAATATAACAGGTTTTTTTTTGCCATTTGTGGCCCTTTGAGGAGATTCCTTATACTACCTATCCTGCAGATACAACAGGATGAAAACATTTTCTCTCCAAAGTTTGAGAAATGGCCTCCTAGGCTCACCAAATGAGGATCAGGAACAAATCTATATAACTGATCTGTGTCCAATCAGGCAAGCCTTCATACTACACAGTTGTTGGTAGATCAAAAAGAGATTGTACATATAGAAACGTGTAGTGAGTTACAACGAGAAAATTCTTCTCTATTCCTGTTCTGTAACAACTCATATTTTTTACTTTTTTTCCTCACCTTCAGTACCAGTGACAGTGATCACCAGGACAAATAGATTAAATCATCCCAGAAGGGATGCAGACACCAATAAAAAAAAAATCTGACAAGGGTGTAACGCCTCACCACTCCATCCATAACAAATAAAAAAGTTTTGCTTTGTCTTTGATACTTTCAATCCCCTTCTTGTGAAGCCCCAGCCCTTTGCATCAGTTAAACAAAATTGTGCTTGAGCACCTGTGATAATTTCAGCTGGTTGTTATAAAAGTAGGTAGGAAGATACATCTATTAACATTATCTCTGCATTACACTATTCACAAATCTGTACCAGAGGTAGAAAGAAGACTGGGAAATTGTTCAAACATTCTCATTTAAAATGTTTTCCACTTAAATGCTTGGTGCACTAACATTCTAACATACAGTAGTATTCAGCTGCATACACTATAACGGTAATAAATGCAATTAAAAACTACAGCTGCAATAATTTAAATGTTTTTGTTATGCAGTCCTGGATCAATGCAGTAGACAAGGCTCCAGCTGAAGTAGTGAAATAACCACCTTCTAGCTTTGAAGAACCCAATCACATTAGGGGGCACTGCTCTCCCCGACCTGGGTTTATATTATCTAGCAGTCTGATTATCACACTTATATCCATGGGCGGACTGACAACTCATGGGGCCCCCAGGCAATAGGGGATCATGGGGCCCCTGTGTCCTTGCCCAAACTCAAAAAAGCCTATGAAAAGGTACCAGGGGCATCTCATGTGGCCCCTACTGACCCCAGGCCCTCGGGCAGTGCCTGAGTTTCCAAATGGTCAGTCCGCCCCAGCTTATATCATATAGACAAATCTGATAGGCAAATGTATCTTCCCTTAATTTGTAGCCCTTCATGTACAGCTTTTCCACACCCCTTTTGTGATATATTGAGGGGACTAAGAGGGTCCCCTGTTGCTCGCTACAGCCTCCTTTTTCACTACAGATGAATTTGGGATCTAGTAATGTCCAAAACTGAATCCTTGGCTTATCATAGTGATACTCCCTTATGGTATAACAAAACACTACATGAATTATTGCAGATTCCTGATCTGCAGGTGTGGATTTGCAAAGGTGTTTATATGTTATGTCAAGTACTTAGGGGTGGATCACTCAAAACATTTGATCAAACTGTAAGCCAAATTTTACTAGCCAAACTACATGCTGTTTTGATATCTCCAACTTCGTCATGCCCTTCAAACTCAATTTTCTGTCGGTTTTCCTACAGTGTCCATGATGGAGACGCTACAGGTGATTTATGGTGATGAACCTCATACACTGATCTCTACCTTTTATTATATATTGCTTACACCAGAAAGGGGCATCCCCAGGGTTGGTGTCACCCGGTGCCGGACTACTTGGTGACACACCCTCTCTCTCTCTACCCTATTTCTCCCCCCATCTCTGTCCTCTTTCTCCTCTCTCTCTCTGCTCTCTTCCCCCCCCTCTCTGTCCCCTCTCTCTCTCCCCCCTACCTACTACATGAAGCTGCAGTGCTGTCACGAGGGTCCGGGGATTACACACTGACCTGCTGCACACTCTGTCTGCCCCTTCAGCTCTCCGACTTCAGCACCCATGGCAGGCATGTGTTGAAACTCCAAGGAGGAGATGTGTCCGAAGTGCCTGCCTCACTGTCCGTCCCCTCAATGATTGCTTATTTCAGCAGCGGCACATACAGGGATGGGCTGAGCCTCTCATGGGGCCCTGTAGTGACCCTGGGCCCTCAGTCAGTCCACCCCTGGTGGAGCGGGCCCGGTGTCACCCCCCTGCAAAAGGTGTCACCTGGTGTGGCGCACACCCCCCACACCTGCCTAGGGACGCCCCCAGGGGTGGACTGACCATTGGGGAACTCGGGCACTGGCTGAGGGCCCTGGGTCAGTAGGGGGCCCCATGAGATGTCCCTGGTACCTTTGATAGGCTTTTTTGGGTGTGGTTTCAGTGTGGGCAAGGACACAGGGGCCCCATGATCCCCTATTGCCCGGGGGCCCCATGAGTTGTCAGTCCGCCCCTGGATGCTCCAGACCCCAGATGCATCTCAATTAGCATATGCACTTAAATCACATTGGAAAGAGGATACTGGTGTTATCGAGGATGAGGATGGGGTGAAATAATAGTGGCATGTAAATGGGTATCCCCTAAGGTATCAGACTTCCTCACACAACTATATATTATTCACAAGACATATCTCACTCTGATGTGCTTAGCTAAATTTTGCCCGTCCCACAGTGCATTGCTCCCTAAATGCCTTATTGGTCTAGGCACATTTAGTCACCTAATCTGGCATTATCCTCAGATTCAGGGCTTTTGCAAACAAATTGTTCAGTTCCTCCATGACCCCATGGGTTCTCCACTGCAACTAGATTCTAAGCAATGCCTCTTGAGCTTTTTTATAGAGTCTGAGATGGACAAACATTCTATGACCTTTTTACATGAAACATTGTTTGTGGCCTGGAAGTTGATAGCTAGAGCAGTGTTTTTCAACCTTTTTTGTGCAAAGGCACACTTTTTTCATGAAAAAAATCACGAGGCACACCACCATTAGAAAATGTTAAAAAAATTTACCTCTGTGCCTATATTGACTATATATAAAGTAATTCTCTTGAATAGGAATCAAACACAAAGAAATTATTTTATAATTACTTTATTATGAAATAATAAAGTATTTTATAATTGGACCCGGGGGCCGGACCAAGAGTAGATGAATGATGTGTATGTGTCATCCATAGTAAGTATAGTAATATTCCCCCATAGTAAGCATAGTAATTAATCCCCCATATAGTAATTCATCCACCATAGTAATTCATCCCCCATATAGTAATTCATCCCCCATAGTAATTCATCCCCCATAGTAATTCATCCCCCATACAGTAATTCATCCCCCATGTAGTAATCATCCCCCATATAGTAATTCATCCCCCATAGTAATTCATCCCCCATAGTAATTCATCTCCCCCATATAGTAATTCATCCCCCATAGTAATTAATCCCCCATATAGTAATTCATCCCCCATATAGTAATTCATCCCCCATAGTAATACATCCCCCATATAGTAATTCATCCCCCATAGTAATTCATCCCCCATATAGTAATTCATCCCCCATAGTAATTCACCCCCCATATAGTAATTCATCCCCCATATAGTAATTCATCCCCCATAGTAATTCATCCCCCATAGTAATTCATCCCCCATATAGTAATTCATCCCCCCTATAGTAATTCATCCCCCATAGTAATTCATCCCCCATATAGTAATTCATCCCCCATAGTAATTCACCCCCCTATAGTAATTTATAGTAATTCACCCCCCCTTATAGTAATTCACCCCCCATATAGTAATTCATCCCCCATATAGTAATTCATCCCCCATAGTAATACATCCCCCATAGTAATTCATCCCCCATAGTAATACATCCCCCATATAGTAATTCATCCCCCCTATAGTAATTCATTCCCCATATTAATTCATCCCCCATATTAAGTCCCCAAGCCCCCCCTGTGTCAATTCACTTACCTTTGCTCCGCGCGTTCCTCACGCCGTTCCGGTGTAGGTCTCCTATGAGGATCTGTCCCCCTCGACGTATCTGCGCATGTGCCAGTTTCAGGCATTAGCAGCCGATCGGCGATCTCCGGCACATGCGCAGATACGTCGAGGGGGACAGATCATCCTGACAGTATCACTCTCCGTGGGCCGGATTAAAAGGTCCGCCGGGCCGTATACGGCCCGCGGGCCGTAGTTTGCCCGTCTATTTGTGAGCCGAGGCAATTTTTCCCACGGCACACCAGACAATATCTCACGGCACACTA